AAAAAACAATAATCTTCCTAATGGAGAACCGAAAGAGATATGAGGACTTAGGCATATCTAAAAAGAAGTCTTCTCCCATGTATTCTATTTACTCCTTTATACCTTTTCTTCCGGTCTTTTTTGCCTATCATATATAGATGCAATAGTTTTTTTGATTATCCTCTTCTCAAGTTGAATGACATGAGTTTCTTTCATTTTTCAATGGTTATCATCCAGTTCTTAAATAGTAGTGAAAATGTCTGTTCAAATTCTATTTTCAGTTCTAAATAATAGTCTTTTAATATATAGATGGGAAGATGAAAAATACAAATCATAATTAGACTAAGTAAGAGAATTAACATTGCCACTAATTACTGCTCTGAACGTGGAATCTAGTCTAGTTTGAATGGATAAGAAGATGAAAAATATAAATCATTGTAATTAGTAAAAAATAAGGTAATTACAAACCATCTCATTAATTATTAATTTAATATTAATTCACATATATAATAATACACTTTTAATACCTTAGTAATAAATCAAATAAATAAAATCAGTAGCATTAATCTGGTAAATGGGGGGTCTTTTCATATACCAGTAATTATTCTAGGCAATACATACATGTACAATTGATATTATCTAAAAATATATCTTTTCACATTCCAAGCATTGAAGTATTTGCTTAGTCCTTTGAGTTTCTTCTGCTAATATCATTTATGGATAATGTTTAATCTATACTTCATATAAGTAGAGAAAAGTGTCAAATCACTTGATAATTTTTCTCTTTCTTCGTCAAAAATTTCCTTTAATTCTTACTCCTAGAATTCAGCCTTGAGAACGTTGGGATAGAAAATTTACTTTAGAAAGAAGCAGATGATTAAAAAAAACTGCACACCTTTAAAAAATGTGGAGCATTAATATAGAAATGCAAGTAAACCTAGAAATACTACTGTTAAACTTCTTATGTAACGTACCTAAAATGTGTAATTAAGTCTTCAAACTTTTAAAATTTTACTATAAACCTTTGAGGTAATTTTAATTTTACTATTTACTATTAAATTAATTAGATGTTTGATTATTAACTCACCCTAGAACGTGTATTTAGTCTTAGTTAATTTAAATTTTACTATTTATTATTTAATTAATTAAATATTTGATTTAGTGTAGAGATAAAATGGTAATCTAACTTTTCACTTTTGAAGCTTCCCACTTATAATAATATATGATTATTATTAGACTTCTAATAATATTTGAAACTATAAGGAATGAAAATGTAAACAACTTAAAAACAAACTATTTTATCATTCAGATCTATGTTGCACCGACTCTTCAAAAATGTTACTGGAGGCTTGTCGGATCCTTAAAAAATGGTGTGGTTTTAATGAATCCAACACGAGCAACAACATTTTTATAGAGTCCAATCAACTTAGATAAATATAAGGGAGTTACTGGATGAAATAATATTGATAGGCAAATATTATAGGAAAAAATAGATGATTTCTAATATAAAATAAAAATAATAATATTGTCAAATTTTTCATAGGATGCCAAATGAAAGGGAATATGTAATTATTGTACTAATAAGTTATTACCTCCTGCTCTAACAACTTGTTTGGATGATTTTTACCTGTCGTTTTATAATGTATCGTTATTTTTGTGAATTATAATTTTGTATAAATCTATATTGTTTGTTATGATTTAATAACATCTTTGTTATTTGGTATGATTTATCAACAATTACTCATACAAATAATCTAAAACAACTTTTTTCTTTTTCAAATTTATCACCAATTTTACCTTGTGAATATATTAAGTTATTAAATTATTAAAACTTCCAATAAAATTATTAAAATACAAAGTATATTAATGGAATAATAAAGGGATCTAAACCCCTGTCAAAATCTTCAGAGGAGAAATGGAAGAATCGCAAGATATTCTACTGAACTCCATCGCCGGCTCCGGTGTGACGATTCCTCCCGGTGTATCATCGGTGAAAGATCTCACGACGGCGACGTTATTCTCCATATCCTCCCAGGCATTGCACCTCATCGACCGCCAAAACTCGTCGATTCCCGCTTCCTTGCCGGAGAATTCAGTTGCGGACCGCTCAAAGCTCTGCTCGGAGCTTGCCTCCGCTTTCAAATCCATAGGTTTCGTCGGAGATATCAGCTTTCACAAGGTTTTACTTACTACTGTTATATATACCTCTCCATTGTTTTCTTCTTCTTTTGATCTATGTCGAAATATGTCGTCGTTTTGCAGCGTTCTGCACGTTTCGAAGCTGATTTTGCAGACGAAACCGAATTTCTTACTAATTATTTTTTTCCTGTGTCAAATTATACGCGCTCGTAGTAGGTGATGCAGCTCGATGCGGAATTAATTGATTTTGATTTGCATTAATTCTAGATTGCTTCATGTGTTTGTTAGATTTGTGCTTAGAGAAAGCATTTTGTGTTTATTGCTTAGGCAGTTCCTTTATCCATCGGAAGAGGACTTGTACGAGTTGATACGGTTCTTGGTTGGGAGGCTATCTGATGTTGAAGCTCGAAAAGATGTAGTTGGAGAATCTAAAAGAGTTCTTAAGACTCCAGAAGAAAAGCTTGATGATGCAGGACTGCTGCCACGTAAGGGGCTTTTGGAGAGACAGTGGGATCCATTGATGAGGATGACACAAACACCAGAGGCATCAAAGGAATCTGATCTTATTCCGAATAAGATGGAAGAGTTCTATAATGGTGTTGATATACCTATAGAAGGTGGAGCTGACTCTAGCAATGAGACATCAAGTGGTGAACAAGACGTCCTAGATTTGGTGGAGGGCGTGAGGAGGAGCTCTTTGAGAGACGGTGAGCATAATTTTGAGTATGGACAAGGACAACAATCAACTTCACCATGCGTGTGTTTGCCTCAGGTACTTAATTATAGGTGGATTGCATTGCATCTTTAGTATATTGTGGTAGACCTTTTAGGCTTTGAGCTAGTTGTCCAATAGAGCAGACCAAGCCAATGATTTTTGAATTGGAGCATATGAAGATAACAGAAATAGGGAACAAACAATGATACTATTTGATTTGGTAGTTAGGCATTCAGAATGCCTCCAACATGTCGTCTTATCTTCTAAATTCGCGCCATATTGCAGACAAACTGCAAGACGGAAACTTTACAAGATCAAAAGGAAAGGCTTGTGGAGAATTCAGTCTCAAGCTCGGTTCAATTAAAAGAACTGCAAGAAAAAATTGATTTGTTGAAAGCAGCAGTGGAAATGGCTTCTGATCACAACCATCCCAGTGACTTTTATGTGAATCAGCTAAACGATCAGGTGGAAGTGAAAAGGGGCAAAATTGTTGAAATGGAGAGTCGCTGGTAGGATAATGATGTTTCTATATTTTGAACATATTTACTTATATTTTCCCTATTGAAACTTGGATGATATCAATTGTTAAGCGTTTTTAAAATCTCGTACAGCATTGATAGAAGCAAGGCCCTTGAGCAGCAGAAGGTTTCTCTTGAGGAAAAGTTAAGAGCAACAGAACCAGAGACCTATGTAAAATATAAAAAGGTGGAAGAGATTGAGTTGAAGCTGGAGTATATATTAACCGAAAAGAAAAGAAGGTACCATCTTTTATTAGGTCATGCAAAATATCCGTCGTTTATTCAATTACGTAGTTGAGCCAAGAGCGAAATTGAGAGAAGAAACTGTACCATTGTTGGACATTTAAGAATTTTCATTACTCATTATGGAAAGAGGTCAAGTAGCGTGGGCCTATTTGTATATGAGAGCTTTTAATGCCGCTTAAAGCCTTGTTCATATACCTTGAAAAATGTTATTTTGGTTACAGAGTAACTCATTTCTCTAAGCATGTAGAGAAATTTAATCAACTTGGTAGCTTTGTCTGAATGTTTGCTATGTGTCACTCTGCAGAGAGGACAAACTCATTGAACTCTCAGCCAAGGCTGAGAAGCAGCCCAAACTGCAACCTAGGAGAACCTACATTCAGCGTGTTGAAGAGATCACCAAAAACAGCCGGAAGCAGGATGTTGACATAGAAAGAATATTAAAAGAAACAAGGGAGCTTCAGTTGGAGAGCAACTCTGTCCAAGAACGGCTTAATCGAACTCATGCAGTGGTGGATGAGACGGTGTTCAGGTACAATCTTTTGATATTCTGGTGACCTCGAATTTAACATCTTCAGGAGAGTGTAGATTGTTCTGATGTAAGTTGTCTTATCTTTTACAAGGGAGGCAAAAAAAGACCAAGTGGGACAACAAGCTTACAGGATACTGACTAACATCCATGACAGCTTTGAACAAATAGCTGAAAATCTTCTTGCAACAGATAGAACTCGACGAGAAGTGTCTGATTATGAAGGCAAACTTGCAACTATGGTGTCTCGAAGTGTTGATATTGACAAGATGAAAGCAGATCTTGATACTATCAGGAGGGAAAATGATCTTCTAGAAAAGAAATTATCCAAAAACTCATCATAAAGTGTAGGGTAGAACAGTTGGGGTTGATTGGTTATTTAAGATGAATGTTATGAACACTTACGTTTCATTTTATGCTGTAATGTTCTAGTAACACACACATTATCTACCTATCAACTTTTTGTGGAATCCATTGCCGAGTGATAATAGTGCTGCAATATCTTGATGATATTGAGACTTGCTCTTGTTGTACTCGGGATTTCCCATCGCAACATTATAATCTTCATTATTTGATTACCAAGAAATCATCAGAGGCTAAACTTGGTGGATAATGAATCCGTAACGTGCCCCTAATACATACTCCATGCTTTTTGTACTAGCAAAAAACCTTGCCAGATATTGTAACACATCATAGGATATTGCACTAAAGGTTTGTTGGAACAAAAAAAAAAAAAACACCCAAACTGATTATGAAGGCAAACTTGCAACTATGGTGTCTCGAAGTGTTGATATTGACAAGATGAAAGCAGATCTTGATACTATCAGGAGGGAAAATGATCTTCTAGAAAAGAAATTATCCAAAAACTCATCATAAAGTGTAGGGTAGAACAGTTGGGGTTGATTGGTTATTTAAGATGAATGTTATGAACACTTACGTTTCATTTTATGCTGTAATGTTCTAGTAACACACACATTATCTACCTATCAACTTTTTGTGGAATCCATTGCCGAGTGATAATAGTGCTGCAATATCTTGATGATATTGAGACTTGCTCTTGTTGTACTCGGGATTTCCCATCGCAACATTATAATCTTCATTATTTGATTACCAAGAAATCATCAGAGGCTAAACTTGGTGGATAATGAATCCGTAACGTGCCCCTAATACATACTCCATGCTTTTTGTACTAGCAAAAAACCTTGCCAGATATTGTAACACATCATAGGATATTGCACTAAAGGTTTGTTGGAACAAAAAAAAAAAAAACACACACACACATTCAAGAAGGACAATAGCTCATGGGTTTATCTTTATAGTGACCAAAGGGCAAATGTCAAGCCTTTCAAGATGTAATAGTATCTTTTTGCTGTCAAAAGTTGATATACAAGCTAGAAAGAGAAATGGAAAGAATTGGTATCTTCACCAGCTCCACTCAAACATCAAAAACTTCTCCAGCCTAGAAAAGATCAGGGAATTGAGGAAAGCTAATGGCTAACTATCAAAAGCAAGAAACTTTATCTTAGAACGAAAGGTTGAGAAGCCAACATTCCAACATAATCTCACTGAGAGTGCCTAGTTTCTAGCCACATCTAATGTACACTTAAGGGAACGGCTTTGATCTATCAGTAATGTCTATACTACATACTTGGGTGATGTAAACAGTAAACATATCTATGGTCTTTATTCTTAGACGTTTTCTCTATTCAGCAATTTGTTATTCCAATGAATATTAGCTTGAGGTTGTTGAAAAGCACCAGATGTAGGAAGGCCAGAATCACCTGATCTGGCAACAGTTTGAGGTTGCTGGGCTAGGGGTTGAGCATTAGATTGTGCAACTATTGTCTGAGATGCATTAATTCCAAGATAAGAGTTATTGGAAGAATGTGCTGGTGCAACAGCAACGTGCTGGTCCTGAGGGATGTTGTAAAAATAATTGGTCTGAAGCATTGATTGATCACGTCCAGGTGCAGAGTTTCTGTAATGGGAACCTTCATTCTGCACGAAAAGATTAGGTGATATCTCAATATCAGAATTGGACAGAAACCGATACATGCTTTATGATGCCACATTCAAATCAACCAAAAGTAGGAAGGAGATTAGTTAGAAAAGGAAAACGGGGATAAAAAACCAAACCTGCTTGTGCATGGAATAGACATTCTTTTCTTTCAGATCAGGTGTAGTGAGATTTTCATTGCTAGCAGAACAAACTAGAGCTGGAGTTCCACTGTATGAGACAGTTGATGACCCATATGAACTGTAGCCAGTAGGGATGCCAAAGTGGTTCGTGTTTCCAGCAATAGCTGCTGGTTTGTATAGGGATTGAAGTGGTAATTTGACACCAGCAGCAGTAACTGATGGTGACATATAAAAGTTGGCAGGAGAAGGCTGCTGAGGGAATCCACTCGGGCCCAAAAACTGGTGGGCACTCTGTGGCATGTAAAGGTGGGGAATGTAAGGGTTATACGGCATATAATTAGGAGGAAATGGTTGGCGTACTAAAGGAAACAAATGTGAAGGAACGCTGACAGAACTCTGCCCAAGGCCTATGGGTTGAGCCACAGGTTGATTAGAGCCCAATGTTGAAGGAGCTTGAGAATTCCCACCCTGCAGCAGGCCATAGATTTATAAAACCTTAGTCAGACCAAAAAGAACAGACACAAAAAAGAGACGACATAGTGGGTGATGTTGGAAGGGAAGTAAGATAAGCCACATAATTCAAGAGCCAACAAGCACCAAATAGACAAAATTTAATTCGATATGTCAAATACCTTCAATTTTAAGCAAAGACAACATTCTTCTACAAGTAATGTCACAAGAATCTCCAGCAAATGAAAGAAGGTAAGGTTCAACGTCCCATATATACATATATGTGTATCTTGGTTGGGGTCCTTGGGGAAGAAAACATTGGGGGAGTGAGAAATATAAAAAATTATTTGCAAGCCAGTTCTTGTCTGCTCTGACAGAGGTAATTGGTCAGAAAGATTGGTTTGTTTCAAAACTCACTGGTTTGCCAATGATCACTCTGCTAATGGAAACTTAATGCATTAAGAGCTTTATGTTCATATCCATCTCTTTGTTTGATATAAAGGAAAGCACTGAGTAAGTGTTTTACCATGGATATACACAGGATATAGTTTTAGTGGACTGTTGGCCAACACAAAGAAAGCACTTCCACTCAGGAGATGATGTCTACTCTGAGTGTTTCATGGTTCAGCTCAGATATTGTAGAAAGAAATACCAAATAAGCAACTAATCTGCAAGTGAGCCTAGAAATTATGCCAAACTTGTTCTATCTTAAAGTAATCCTTCAATAGCCAATACTACAAGATCTTCCCATTCAAATTGTTTACACAGTTAGCATTGTCTTATGTAAGAGGAAACTGACTAAATATTCATTTTGACAGCACAGACTGGACCAAGGGAAAAGAAAGCCTTTCGAATGAAATATGGGAAGTAGAGATGTTTTAGGGACACAATGACATGCCTGCTGTTCTGGTCCCTCAATACACACAAGATGGGGCCCAAGCATGGGTGGTACAAAACCCAAGCTATAATCAGGAGGAGTCTGGAGAAGTGGCAATTGTGAACCTGCAGAAGGTGGACATTTCTCTGACTTTGACGGATCATACACTGGAGAAGCACCAGATACTTCAAAAGGTGATATATTTTCAGATCCATGTTGGTGCGACAGCAGATTGTCAGGATAATCACCTCTCTGAGCTGCTGAAGATGCATCTTCGTAGCTGCAGTTAGTTTTATATGGTGATGAGAGGCCAAGTATAATATATAAAGAAAAGATTACCCAATAAACAGTTACTGTGTTACAGATTAGATCAGGATAAGCATAATGACATGGCCATCCTAATGTTACTATAAGCTACGAAAAAAACTCGACAGTCCAGAGGCAATTTGGTCATGGAATCTTCATCAAAATGTTATACATGATTGCAAAAATATATTGACATGCTCACAGACAACAACGAATCAGCAAAAATGATTCAGTAGAGATACATTTAGATATATAAAATCACAAATGAATACAAGACATGACATGTCACTCCGTTACCTACCTCCCAGGTTCCATGGAAGTAGTATCATTAGCTGGAACAGTCTCCACAGGCATTGAGTCTTTGCCACAGCTTATGCTTTGATCCAATTGAGGATCCAAACTACCGAAAGTCAATCCACTCCTAAAAGATTCAGGTACTTGAAGATTATTCGGAAAAATAACAGGTTGACAACGGGCAGAGACATTTAACTTCTCTAACTTCATGTCAAGCTGTGGAACTGCTTGTTCCACAGAAGAATTTGGTTTAGAAACTGATGGTAAATTTTCTCCCTTTGCAACAGCTGCTGCCTGAGATGGCAATACTGCATCAAGATTATGATAAAGTGAGATTACCAAGAAAGGAAAAGTAAAAGAAGAAAGTGAGAATCACAAGAGTTTTCCTTTCTCTCCTCCTCAAAAGCAACACATGGTAAGCTCATGATGGTTATGCTACAAATATCTGATTTTCTAGAAAGCCAACCAAATTCAATGATTGAACAGACGAGAAAGCATGTAAGCAGTTATCCACTTCATGAATTGGTCGCAGTGAAATGCACTTGTAAGATAGAGCCAGCTATTTTTCTCATGTATATCTCGAAAACCACATTAACAATAATACTTTGGCCTTTGACATTGAGCAATGAGTAACTGAAATAGTTTACAAGAAATCCATCCACATTACTTAATTGAGGAGGTTGTATCCCCCTTAAATTCAGACTTTCAGAAAAGATAAAAACAATTAAAGGAGAGTCGATATAAATCGAAGTGGTACCTCCTGAATGACCTTTAACTTGTTTGGAATGCTGACTTTCATGATTTGCAACTGGTTGTATGGCAGTGACTGAAACTCCCCAGGATTCTTTTGGCCCTGTTGTGTTTATGTAGTTTACAGTTCTAGTGACTGCATTAGTATTTTGGGGAGCATCTTGACAAGCATCTGATGTTCTCTTATTCGCAGGAGACACAGTGTAGTCGGTAACAGTGCGCTGGCCACCTATCTCACGTTTTATCGTACCAACTGTTCCTGGATTTCGTGGGTTCAAGGCTGGCACTAGCACAGGATCCGATGAAGAAGAGTAGACACCAGAAACTGATGCTGAAGTTGTGCTTTTCACAAGCTCATTAGGTATCGATATGAAAACTTTATCTTTAAATCTGGTTCCAGGTGCAAAGGTGGGGGTGGGGGTAGGAGTGGGGCCAGGATCCAAGTTCAGATGATGATTTATTAAATTAGGAGGTACAGTTGAAACTTTTGCCAACTTATTTACATTAACAAATGAAGTAACCCTACTGACATGACTAGGATCATCTCCAGCAACCTCAACAGCAAATTCTTTGCTAGGATGTATACTAGCATCTTCTGTTTTACGTGCAGGTGGCATGGAGGCCTTAGAAATTCTATCCTTCGAACTATTGACTCCATTTTCTTTCTTAATGTATCTTCTGCCATTGGCATCTGTCGACAATAAAGAAAGAGGGTAATTTCACATTGCAAGCCATAAATACAGGAAATACATCTCCCTCTATCAATATGAAACACTCTTCCGAATTCCAACAGATGCCATGTTAAATAAATGATAAGAAACAGTGCATATATCAAAATATTGCACATGAAGGCAGGAGTGGACCAGCCAGCATCCAACTACTAAGGAGGAGGACTCTTTTCTTTGCTCATGAAAGTTGCTCAATTATTCTTGAAATGTATGCTCAAAGACTCAAAATAGTAAAACTAATACCCAACATTCTGGATACTCAAGAAAACTAGGTGATTAATCGATCAAGATCAAGACCACATTATGACAGTAACTCTTACCCCAGGTTGAAGTCCCATATTTACTATCAGTGATGTAATTTGCAGAAATTATCTCACGACCATCCCTAGCCCTTCTCTGCATGCCTGACATCCACCTGTAATCGTCAGAAGTTTGGCTGCTGGCTTTCTGTGATAAACAGATGGTGGAAAAATGAATGATCAAGCTAAGTGAATTTTTTGTAATAATATCTATAACGACTATCCCCATATTACTAGCTGTGTCCCCTGAATAATCCTAGTTTGAATCAACATAATCATTAAGAGAAATGCTTACTGTTTTCTTTCTGTCTCGTTTCTTTTTCACCTCATGAAAAGTATCTGCAGAATTAGATAGTGTTTGCTCAAGTGAAGAAAACAATAATGTAATAGGCTCAGCAATTACATGAATTCATGACGGATTATGAAACTTAGATAATATGTTCCATAGAAATCGCCAAACTATGTAACGAGATAGGCATCAAAGAGGCAGATATGGAATCAACAACCAACAGGGATTTCAAGAATGGTAGAACAAAATATACTCCTAGTTTCCATATAAACATATACTGACATGAGTTCTAAGCATAGACGAAGTACCCTACTCTAAAGCATAAAAAGGAAAGAAAACAAAAACAATTAGAAGTATTTGCTTCTTATTCTTCCTGCAGTACCATGTGTATACCGGTGAAACCACAATTAGCAAAATTGACCAGATATTCACAAAATTATAAAATGATTTTTTTCTATCCGCCTTGGTAGACAAAGTTACATCGCCTTGGTTAACAAAGTTATCTGGTACCTGTTGTTGCTAGTGGGAGATGAAAGATATCCCATGAAATTAGTCTGAGTTGCGTGCAAGCTAGCCCAAACACCATGATTATAATATGAAAAAAGTTTGTGAAACATACAAGCATCAAATCAAAATCAAAATGTTGTGAAAGCACAAACATCAAATCAAGCTTTGTTTGGATGGTTGTTAACTACTATTGTATCGCTAAACAAGCTAAATAATTATATAAATTGGTGATTAAGGTAACAATTACCGAGATATAAAAGCTTCTGAGCGGTATCATTGGGATCCATATTGCATTCCTTAAGCATCGCGTAGATGTCTTCATCGGTGTGCTTGCCGGCGGCGATCTCCTTTATATCGTCAATCGTTTTCCGAACATTGCTCGGAATTATAATTCTCGAAACGCCGGTGCTCATGGTGACAATGAGAACGGAGAAATTACAGAATTAGATTCACATGTACCCAAATAGGAGCATGCACAATTGAAATCATTACGAGAAAAACACAAATGATTGCAAGTTACTTTAAGATAGAGTACTTATATTTTTCTTAAAAGATATAATATATAAATATGCTTTTTAATTTGATTTTAGCTGACATATACACTCTCTGATTTGGATATGTATAAATAGACACTGAAACTTGTATAAATTTGAACAAGTAGATACACGTATTACATGGAGAACACCATATTGAATGTTGTGTAGGACATGAATTGTAACGTAAGATACCAAGTAGGATATGTATGTCTACTTGCTCAATCGTATATAAGTTTAAGTGTATACTTATACACACCTAAAGTTGAAGGGTATAAATGTCAAATAACATCAAATTAAAAAACACGTTTATGTATTATGTCATTTAAAAATACATATTTATACAAGAATTATCTAATAATAACATTTTAAAATGACTTGTAAATTAATAATTAAATCATCAACAATTAATAATTGATATCTTAATGATTTAACATATTTATAAATAGCTTATAAACTAAATTGATATATTTAAAAATGAGCTGAATCAGAAAAGCATCCCTAATTTATGTTGTATTTTTATCATGATATGAAAAGTGTAAATACTTGGTTTTGTATATAGAAAGAATGTTTATTAGAAGAATTTTTAGTACTTTATATATTATTAGGATAAATGTGAAATTGAATAATTATTTAGTAGCATTAGAATCGACAAGAAAATTATACTAAGGATCAAAGAGAAATTGCAGTATCGGGTCAAAATTGGGCGCGATTTTTCGGGTCTACTGTAATCGTCGCCGGTAAGCTTCCGTCGGTGTTCCGGTCACCTTGTTCAGTGAATTTGTGCTTTCTTTCTCTTCAAGGTTAGTGTGAAGTTTTTCGAATTAGCAGAATGTTTTATTGATTTATAAGTTTTTGAATGATAATGCATCCTGTTTTTGGTAGGTGTAGCCTGTAGGCTTATTGATTGAGTTGGATTCGTATGTGATTTGATTTCTGATGAGTATTGATATTGGTTTGGCCTTCATGGATGGAAAAAAATTGATTTTTTTACTTGATAGAAAGAAATGGCATCTGGAATTTCTGATTGTTTGATTTTGATGTTCCTTAGAAAACACTCAAAAGAATTTACCTGATTTAAAAAGCCACTTAAGAATTATGAAACATTTGATAGTCCAAACAACAACGAATACCCGGTGCAATTCCACAAGTGGGATCTGGGGAAGGTAGGATTTATGCAAATATTGCCCCTACCTTTATGCGGTAAAGAAGTTGTTTCCAATAGAGATTTAGCTTAAAAGAAAAGAAGAATTCGAAGCACAATTATAGGATGTATGCAAACCTTGCCCTTACCTTGATCTACACATTCATGCGACCGAGACTGTGCAAAGGTAGAACACCTTGGAAACTTTGCTGACTTTATCTTCAACCTTGATTTTGCTATGCTCAATAAGAATCCGGAAGAGTGGAAATAGGTTCTGTTCCGCTTCCAAAGTCAGTCGTCTGCCGTTCACACTTGGGCAAAGACGACTCTCCAGAGGTTCTATTCTTTGTTAAGTAAAATTCTATCACTATATATAGTGTCTAGGGGATGCAGATGCTGTTGATTTATTGCAAAATGTATTTCGGAACAGAGGAAAAGCGATAGTGTCACTCAACTGAGACAGTCGACTATACATGTAGAGATCCTCTGGATGGCATATGTTTCACCAGGTTAATTCGGATTGGCATCTTACCAAATAAAAGTGTTCTCTTGACCATTGTTTTTCTGATTGACACCATTTTTCTTTTTTTCTCTAAAGAAAAAAAGTGTTCTCTTTACAAGTGCCTCAAAGTTAATAAGGGACAATTCTTCACTGTTAGAAGGTCGTCTTAGCCTTTCCAGCAAATTTCACAAAAAAAAGCAAGGAGATCAGGACAGTGCTATTTGAAAAGTTTTCCTTATGATACAATTCAGAAAAGGGCTGTCTATGATAGAATTGGTGTGATACTCGCTTAATTTAGTGCTTTGAATATCAAATTTATAAGAATGTGCCACCTGTAGAGCTTTACAAAATGGTCTATGAGTTTTATGAATCTCATATACTTTTCAAATTATAAGCGCCAAGTAGAAGCGATGTAAAGGTCTCACTAAATCCTGATTTGGGCATTTAGAATTTGATGATGCTTCAGTATGAGGATCTGGCCAAAGAAGACATTTGATGTTTTGGTTTGTTTGTTGAGATTTGGGATACACTGATTGCTGAAACCACTAAAATGCTGACGCAAAAATATCATTCCAAGACACTTTTGTAAGCCTTATAAACAAAAAACATTCCAGAAGTGATACTATTTTTTTTGTATTTCTCTAATAATTAGAGCAGCAATGTCGTTAGTGTGTTAGCGACAGATTAAAAGTCAGGAAAAGTTATCAACACTCATGTGTTGCAATACATGAAAAATGTGATATGTATTAATATACTTTTGTAACAGGGTCGACTGAAGTAGTGTTTCGCCTTTTTGTTATATGTGTTTATCGAACTAATCTTTAAAGTTATCCTCTATACCTAAGATGGTATTTATTTTTGAACTCCAGCTTACTTTGCCAACTTATTATATATTCTGGTAGTCCGATCCTTGTGTTCGTAATTGTTGGTGTTCTTTTGAGCTACCTTATTCAGGGTGATCATCTGACAAAATTTGCAGACTTCTATTCATATTCAAAGACTGGGAATTCTAGTGTATGGCTTCTAGGCGGAATATTAATTACAGTCGTCTCGCTGTGGATGAAGATGACGACTATTATGGAAATTCTGGCAAGCGAGCTGACCCTAGATTTGATTATTCACCAAAATCGTTGGATAGAATCCCCTGGAAGTCCATTGCCCTTGCTCTTTTTCTGCTCTTTCTGGGATGTCTGCTTCTCTTACTATCCTACTTCATCTTATCTGGTCATATGGAAGGAGAGAGTTCCCAGGCATATGGTCTCCTTGGACTTGGAATCCTCACTTTTCTCCCCGGTAAGTCAAAAACATACCTCAATTTATATTGCTTTGGATGCTTAAGCTGCAACGCTTTAGTCGATAATTGTTCAAGATATCCTCGAGGAGAGTGTAGTGGTTCATTAAATCCAGGATCAATTTGCGGCTGCACCATTTATTTGACAGCGTGATTATCAGTTTGTGTTAACAGGGTAACGTACACTGAATTTGCAGCACAATAAATAGGTGAGATAGTAAAAGGTTGAGCTACGTGTTACTGTATCTGTCCTCTCTGTAGTTGCTAGAAGCCCCATATCAAGGTGATTGTAGATCTGCACTTGAAAATAGTCATATTTAATCGATCTTTTGGGATGTCCATTACATGTTGTAAACTTCTGCAATAAGCAATAGATTCTACTTCAAGTCATATTTTCTCTGTTTTGTTTGAGTCTAATACTGACTACGCTTCTGGTTGCGTAATAAGTTCTCTTTTTAAGTTTGATATTCACTTTTTCATTTATAATTGATTAGGCAACTTCCAACGATCAGCTTTGACCTTGATAATTACTTGCAGGTTTTTATGAGACGCGGATTGCATATTACTCTTGGAGAGGTGCTCAAGGTTATCGATTTACTGCAATCCCTGAATATTGAGGTCTTCACATTTCATGTAAACTCTAAATGTAGTTACTAGTTTCTGTAATGAGTTTTGTGATAGTTTTTATTGTAACACACGGTTTGTCCTTTACATTTCAAATAACTTCTGAATGTAGTTACTGGTTTTCATATGAGTTTGAGTTTGATGAGTTTGCAGCATTTATTTTGTCCTAATCCCTTGCGTGTCGAGCGAAATTTTGTTCATTATGTAACTTTTGTATGGTCAGCGCCCCTATGTGCTGTATTCGGTACATCGGATTATACAGTATGAAGGACCAACTTCAGGAAGCACGAAGCAGTTTACGCCCTGTGGTTCTTGATTTTTCGATGTGCAAAATACTACATGGTTTGAGTTTGATACTTTTAGAACTTCCAATTTAAGAGAGGATGTTTCAAACTTGATTTATATATAAAGTAAAAATCATCATTGGATAAGCTGTGGTGATGCAGAATTGCCTCATAGATTCTTGTGCCTGTTCTGCTTTCTCATCCCGACTCTCGTACAAGTTTCATTTAGACACTTCAACTCGATTAAAACAAGCATTTTAAACATCTCTATAACTATACGGGACGCTCAATTGCGCTGATGTGGACAAAACATCAGTATCCAGATGAAAGTTGTCATGTCATTTTTCATCTTTACAAATATTATTGAGAGTTCACTTTCGCGCTAACTACATGAAGTTGACGCGGAATTTAGTCTAATCCTAATGCAAGTAGCCCAACAACAACAAAAAAAAGTACTACTCCCTCCGTTTCACAAAAAATGACCTCCTTTCCTTTTTAGTCAGTTTCAAAAAAATGACCTCTTTCCTTTTTTGGTAACATTTTACTTTTTGCTTTCCACGTGGCATGTTTAAGACCACAAGATTAAGGACAATTTTGTACATTTGACATAACTTTAATTTAGGACCACAAGATTCAAAAGTCTTCTTTAATTTCTTAAACTTCATGCCAAGTCAAACCAGACCAATCTTTTTGAAACGGAGGGAGTACTATATAGCCTATAGGCTTATGCTTCATTAGCAGCTAACATTGAAGCTAAGGCAATGCTGCATTCTGTTTGCTTGGCATCTCCACTTCACTCTCCAAAACTCAAAGACTCCATTAATGGCACTTCAGAAATACCCAATACTACCCTTCTCCACCATTTCACTTCTCCATTCGAGCTCAAACAAGCTGTTGCGTTTCTCATCAAAACCAATAAACCTCTTTCACTACTCCCACTTTCTCGGGTAGCTTCCATTTGCGCACTTTCTCCCGATTTCCCCTTTGCTCAACAGATTTTCAGCTCTGTTGAACAGCAAGAAGTTTCTATATGGAATAGCTGTTTGAGAAATCTTGCTGAAGGTAGTTCTTTAATTGATGCAATTTTCTTGTTTCATCAAATGCGTAGTTACAATGTGAGTCTTGACTGTTTCACTTGCTCATTTGTTCTTAAGGCTTGTGTTGGGTTACGGGATCTTTTACGTGGGAGAGTTGTTCATGGGTATGTAGAGAAACTTGGGTTTCAATCGAATTTAGTTTTGTTAAATGCACTTCTTCATTTGTATGCTACTTGTGGAGCAATGGCTGATGCGAACCTTCTGTTCGATAAAATGCCTCAACGAGATGTTGTGTCCTGGAACATAATGATTACCCAATTAGCGAAAAAGGGTGATGTTGATGGGGCGTTTGACTTGTTTGAGAAAATGCCTGAGAGAAATTTAAGGTCTTGGACTGCTATGATTACTGGTTTTGTTCATTGCGGGAAGGCTAAAGAGGCTATTAGACTTTTCGTAGAAATGGAAGAGACGGGGTTGAGGGCGAATGAGGTGACTGTAGTGGCCGTTCTTGCAGCTTGTGCTGATTTGGGTGCACTTGAATTGGGTAGGAGGATTCATGAGTATTCAAATAAGAGCGGGTTCAGGAGAAACGTTCACATTTGTAACACTCTGATTGACATGTACATTAAGTGTGGCTGCTTAGAGGCTGCAAAAGCTGTTTTCGATGAAATGAAGGAACGAACAATTGTATCATGGTCAACCATGATCCAGGGTTTAGCTATCCATGGGCACGGGGATGAAGCCTTAGAACTCTTCAACGAGATGATCAAAATGGGAATGATGCCTAATGAGATCACGTTTCTTGGAATCTTGCATGCATGCAGCCATATGGGGTTGATCAACAAGGGGCGCGAACTTTTTACTAGCATGAGTAGAGACTATAACATTTCCCCTCAAATCGAACATTATGGTTGCATGGTTGATCTCTTGAGTCGAGCAGGACTTCTTCAAGACGCATATGAGCTCATTACAAGCATGCCTATAAAACCAAATGCTGTTGTATGGGGTTCTTTTCTTGGTGGATGTAGAATCCAAAAGGATGTGAAAATGGCTGAGGAAGCTATCAGGCAACTAGGTGTCCTAGACCCTCTTAACGATGGATACTACATTATCATGTCTAACATTTATGCAGAAGCTAAGCGTTGGGAAGATGCAGCAAGGGTGAGGAAATTGATGAAAGATCGCGGAGTAAAGAAAACTCCAGGTTGGAGTTCAATTACTATAGCAGGAACAACGCACGAATTTGTGGCTGGAGATGATAACCATCCTCAGGCTGAGCAGATCTTTAAGAGATGGGATGAACTGCTAGAACAAATGAAGTCCAAAGGATATGTACCAAATACATCAGTGGTTCTACTTGACATAGAAGAGAATGAGAAAGAAAAATATGTGTATCGCCATAGTGAAAAATTGGCTCTTGTTTTCGGTTTGATGAACATAAAGCCAGGAGAAACGATCAGAATAATGAAGAATCTTCGCGTTTGTGAAGATTGTCATGCTGCTTTCAAAGTAATATCAGAAATTGTCAAGAGAGAGATAGTTGTGCGCGATAGGAATAGGTTTCATTGTTTTAAAGATGGATTTTGTTCTTGTAAAGACTATTGGTAACAAATCTTGCACTTGGAGACCTTTTGTATACTGCAATATATTGTTTTCTTGATTCAAATGAAGCATTGAACTTCCATTACTAAGTCAAAATATATTTGTTTTGATAATCGAGAAATATCTGAAAGTTAGTATCACATAATTCTAAACTTAGGAGATAATAGGCTTGGTTGAAATTGAAATGCAGTTTGTTGATGCTTGATTCTTGTCACTAATTTTAGATTTTACCAACATTTAAAAAAATATATTTAACAAAAGAGGAAAAACAGCATAATCATAACTTGCCAACGTGCTCTTAATAAATAAGCTAAAACATAGAATATTGATAAGGAAATGCAACATAAAAATCCCATGACAATAGATATATAATTGTACGAGCTCATATGAGATGGATGATAATGGAAGGGTCACAATGCATCCCTTTCCTATATTAAAAGGACCAGTCTACAATTTAATATTTTATTTTTACTCCAGACTTTTAATAATTATGTTTAATTTTTGGATTTCTCGATACAAAAATGGCAAAAATGATCATTTATGCTTGAGCGTAGACTCAAAACAATCGTTTAAGTATCCACTGAACAATGTTGGTGCTTCAAATTTACCAATAAGTTAAAACACTTGTAATCCAATCAAATATTTTCCAAATTTTATCAAAGTTGAACTTTTTAAAAAATAACTATATACACCAAGAAAGTCTCATCAAATCCTAAAATATGCCACACAATAAGTTGCACTAAATATTAAAAAAATATTTAAAATCAAGTTGAAATTATACCTCAAAAAACGTCACTAGATTTAAGAACTAAATTTAAAATAGCAAAAACTACAAAATTTCACCTCTAAATACGAGTTTCCGCTAATTTCCTTCTTCTTTTCATAGTTTCCATCAAATATAATAGACATAATTCGATAAATGTTTAACGAAGACTAAAATTATTAACTTTGCAAACTTAAAAGGACCAAAATTGTTCAATACATACTTAAGGGTATTTTTAGCTACTCTCAAACATAGAGACCATTTTTGCCATTTTCTCGCCCTGTTTGAATCTTCCAAAAACTACCATAAATGCCCAATAAAGTTTTGATTTTTCACAATATCAGTTCAATTGTATTTTGCAGAAATGGGATCTTCTGAAGGTCGAAGAGCAACTTTAATGGTGTATAGAAATCTATTCAAAGCAGTGAAAAAACATATAGGGAAGGAAGAACACAAAACTCATTTTACTGATTTCAGCAGGGAAGAATTCAAGAAGAATATAAATCTGGAATACCCAAAAGACTCTTCTTTTATTCAGCAAAGAATTAATCTTGCTCAAAATTATACTTATCTTCTCAATAGTATCCATCATCATAAGGTAGCTTCATCTCTTTAATTAATTATCCCCAATTTTTGTTAAGTTGTAGCCCCTCTTTTTCTTTGTTGCTTGTTGTATTGTATCATATTGTTATTTTAAGTATTATGTTTGTTATGATTGTTATGAAAGATTTCATTTTTCTGTATGATCACTTATTTGGTGTGGTTGTGTCCGGTGGCGGATTTAGGATTTTCACTAAACAAATGAAGAAGCCGAAAGTGGTTTTTACAATTTATGTATATGCATAAAAAGTAATTTTAACCATGTATAAACGGTGTAATCCTCGGCCCTACCTAGATATCCCCCTAGACTCGTGTCGTTATCTTATTTGGAAGGGAAGCCTTGTGTAACTGGTAAAATTGTTGTCATGTGACTAGGAGGGTATAGTTTGAGTGTGGAAACAACCTCTTGCGGAAATGTAAGGTAAGACTGCATACAATAGCCCTTCCCCAGACTCCATTCATAGCGGGAGCTTTTGTTTCTTGGCTATGATGAAATAGACATAGTTAATTATAACTCTTTATTATAGTGTTAGTAGTGGAAGAATATATGACAACATATCCAGTGTAGTTCTACGAAGTGGGGAAGTAGTGTTAGTAATGGTAGAATATATGAAAACAATTGTTAAAAAGTATTTAAAAGTTAGTTTGAGTGGCGTTTTAAAAGTGTTAGATAAATTTGGACATGAGAAGTATATATATGAAATATCTAGTTTGTTTATAATGTTTTAATTTACTTAGTTAAGGCATATAGCCTAGTGAATTGTAAGTATCACAGAAGGTAGTGAGGACAACAATGTTATGTGGATTGAATGTTTCATATCTAGTTGGTTTATAATGTTTTAATTTACTTGGTTAAGGCGTATAGCCTAGTGAATTGTAAGTGTCACAGAAGGTAGTGAGGATAACAATGTTATGTGGATTGAATGTTTAGCCTTTAAGGTCCTATGCACCTACAATATTAGAGCTCACAAAAATGTTGATGTCAAGATGTATGTGTAATCACACAATATCAGATAAGATTATAAGTCATCACATTCAGTAGAGAGTGGAAGTGGCACAGTGTAGGATAAAATAAGAGGTCACTTGAGATAGTGGTGCGATACTATGATAATTGGAGGTGCTGCAAGGGAATGAGGTAGACTGAAAATAATATGGAGGAAAATTCTCAGTAGACGTACAATTTCTTGGAATCAATGTGGATTTGTTAAGGATAAAAAGGGTTACATAGAGTCTATACCAATTGGTTAGATTAAGGTTTTGTTATTGTGTCATTGTTAATGTTGTATATTCGATCATATTACGAAAGATTTTTTTTCTTCTGATAAGCCTAATGTATAGCTGTAACTAGTCGTCTTATCCTTATTACTTGACCATAAGTTGAAACAATTTAAAGGGTGTCATGGGAAGTCTTTCTTTCTCAACTATAACATTTTTTGCGTGGTGAACTCACTCCGTGATCATGATTCTTTGGCTCTTACATTCTTGTTATCTTGAATTGTGATAATAATTATATCTTACAAATGTGGCTTTCTTTGTTTTTGCAGGACTTGTTATTTTCTTACAACATCGCAGTGGATAGATCAAATGAGATGGCAAAAGTGCTGGGCAAATCTGCTGCAAGTGTGGGTCTACGCCTTCCTGATGTTTATCAGCATTAAAAGTTGGTAGGTTTTCACTGTTTCCTTTCCATTTGCTTGATTATGTGACTTTGTGGTAAACGATGGATCCATTTATGTTGTGTTGTTTATGGTCCAAAAATTGCCATGTCATAGCATGTTAAGCTTGGAAAGTCTGCATGTCTAAGAAATGAAAGAATCAATGGAAATGACAGAGCTAACGAGCTTCATGTTGTAGCATGTTTCTCAAATTTACTATTTTTGAACTTCTTAATGGATGTTTCCTTTCTAGCAATTTGGTTAGGATCTAAATATACTTTTTTTCTTTGTTGATGAATCCGATGAATAGTTTTTCCATGTGGAAAGTAACCTCATTGCTGCAATGGCTAATTGAATTCAGGACTCAGATCATTAATTGGCTCATCTTGATAGAATTTAAGATTTCAGAAGCTGCATTACTCACTTTCTTTCGTCTTTTACTTGAGTGGTTGTATTGGACGTGAAATTGTGTAATCCAGGTCAAACAACTGTAATTGATGGAGTCGTAGCTAGAAATACATCTACCTAGGATTAGGTCCTGGATGGTGGTGGCTCCTGTGTTGCTATTGTCGGGTTGTTGATGGAGATTTGCATCTATGATGTTACTGGACATTGTGGTGGCTCTGATTTTGCCAAAAGCTTGATGTACTTTTATATGAATGAGTCGGATAAATTCTTGTGGAAATGTGAATGGTTCCATAAAACGTTTAACATTTACTACTTGTCTGCAAAATTTTTGATCCATTTCCACATTCTTGCTTGTTTGCAGCATATCCATCACATCGAGTCCATCTCTTATATATACACATTTTCTCAATGTACGTGTTGTTTGCAGTACTGGTATCATGTCGAAGGTGGTTTCAGATGATTCAACAAAACTGGAAGCTGATATTGCAGATATCCTAGAACAACTTTCATTCATATCTCCTTAGGATAACAATTTCACAGATTTGTCCTATGTTGGACAGAATGTTTTTGGTTTGATGAACACCAAACCATGAGAGACAATCAGAAAAATGAAGAATTTTTCGCGTTTGTGAAGACTGCTTCAAAGTAATATAAGAAATTGCCAAGCTAGAGATAGTTGTGCCTGATAGGTTTCATTGCATATGAGAACTCATTAGTCCATTTGAACATGTTGTTTCTGTTTGTTGCTATTGTCTCTTTTTCACTATTCATTCTACTGAGGATTTTTTTGAAACAACTTCTCTACCTACTTTATCATCCCTAAACCCCACTTACGGAATTTCACTGAATTTGTTGTCGTTGTTGTTGAGTCTCACTAAAATCTTGCAAGTTATGTTGTACAGAAACATTTGATCAATTATTGAAAAAGAACATGATTACTCCTTTGTTGTAAAAAAAATAATTAGTTGGGGTCAACAATGTCTAGTTGTTTTGTATTGTTGATTAGTGAATGTATAATCCTTCAATAAACTATGCAATTGCTCAAATAAACAATGGCTTTGAAAGTGACAGAGGTCAGACCAATTTGACCAAATCATGTCATGTCATGTCCCTTTGTAGAGTTGTGGAGTACCTCAAATTCAGGTACTCAACTATAATCTAAATTCTAAAATAATCATACTCTTTTTCGATTCGTATTATCTGTCTTTTAAAGTTTTCGCTTAATCATAAGAGTATTCGTTTACCTACTAACCAATGATGGATGGATAATATAAATAGTGTTTTTGATACATAGTATAAGAATGTTTTGTCTTTTAATTTAAATAATGTAAAATCAAAAGTCAAGTAGAGCACTAAGTAAACCTTACAAAAACTATTCATGAAGATTCTATAACTATTCCATATGAAAAATCACTAAAATTTTAATAAATAATATATTCTGAACTCATAATTTCTTGAAATATGTAATGATTTAGTCATAAGAACCTAATATGTTCTACCTTCTTTTTAGAAAAAAATACTCAGCAAATTTTAGTATATCTAATTATTTGGCCAGATTCAATCATTATTAGATATTTATAATAACATAATTTGCTTTAAAAAATTTAGGAAAAAAGGAAAAAATTGACATTATTCCCTCTTCACATGCAATTAAGAGTAAACCCGTGACTCTTTTTTTTCCTCTTTCTTAATTTTATATACAAAAATATTTTATATTTATTTGTTTGTTCTGTTTTAGATCAGAATCCAGACTGTTATGAGGTGACCTAATAAATACAACTGCTATGATCCATAACACAAATCATTTTCACTTATAAATTTTCCTACCTAAAATTAGATCTCATTTCTTAATTATTGCACCTAATTTGGACCATAAACCATTTATCTAATTGATTTGACTGCTAACAACTCTATGAAAGCCACCATTTCACAAGCCAAGAACCACAATATGGTGTGGCTAGTGGTTAATGGACCAAGCGCGTATGATAAGAGTTGAAAAATAAAATAAAAATTAGTTCGAGAAACACCCTACCACACGGTATGGGATGTTGTAAGGAGTGGAGTGTTAATGTAAAGTCAAGGTTGGATCGTGCAGAAAAAATCTTTGAACTAAGAGACATGTCAATTTAACTTTTCTATTTTTTAAGTTATTATACTAAGCTTTGTATGAAAATTTACCTACTTGTTGTAAGTGAACCTAACATGTTGGTGAAAAATATTTATACATTACTCAAATTATAAACTTGTAGAGCGCTCCGAGATGGAGTTAAGATCAATTTTAGATTCTTTCTGAGGCTTATCTTACCTTAACATCCAAATAAACAAAGGGCGAACACCAAAAAAGGATCATCACTATCTCTTAAAGAAAACTTTATCAAATAGGTTTTGCTTATTCACTCAAACAATGTATTAAGCATGAAAGTGTCTAGTTCGGCCCGTTTTAGAAAATTGTTACTACCTAATTTTCTATAATGATTTGCAAAGACCATAGTGCATTTGAAAGTTTCAATCTTTGTGGAACTTAGAGACGTTTTCGATAGACCCTCGATAAGAAAACTAGTAGTAATAATACCAATAACTCTTTGTTATTAGAGTTTTGTGGAGATTGATGATCTCTAATTTTTGGTATTTTTAATTTGGAATGACACAATAAAAGAAAGTATGAGAGACAGGTTGGAGAGGGGTGGTGGCCCATATGTTTGTTGATTCAGACACTTGTGTTTGGGACAAAATACAATGAAATAATTGAACGTGAAAAGCTTTACTTTAGCTTTGACCCCCCATGTTCTCAATTTGTTAATAGAGACTCTACTAATTTTAGCCTCAACTGCCAAGAATCATCGTTTTCTTCACTCCCAAACCTATTTCTCCCCTCACAATTAGGTCCCCTCTCTCTCTTTTACATCTTTTCTTTATCTAACAGTATAAAGATTGCTTTTTTCTGTCCATTCTTCAACAAAAAAACCCTCAAAGTTCTAATCTTTGTGACTTCAGGTACTATTTTTTAGGCTGCTTTTTTTTTGGTACTTTTGAACTGGACCAGTGATTTGCTGGGTGGGTTTTTTTAGGCTTTCTTTGTTTTTAGCATTTGGGGCTTTGTGGGGTTTAACGATTTTGCTTGGTAGGGTTTTCTTGGAAAAAAAAGGTGGGTCTTTTACACAAGATCTGTGTGCTCATTGACCCTTCTTCTGTTTCTTTTTTGTTATCTATGTGGGGTTGTTCTTATCTTCTTCTATGTGGTGTTTGAGTGCTCTTTAATCACTGCATTTTAATGTTTTGCCTTGCTTTAGGTTCCTGTTTCCTGGAGGAAAAAAAGGAATTTGGTTGTTTTTGAGGTAAATGTTTGAGACATTAGGTGTCTTGGACCTTTAATTGTTGCTAAGTAATAATGATCTGCTGTCTGTTACTTAATTTTTGTTGGATTAGTCTACTAAATAACTGTTGATTTTTGACCTTGTGGAGTTTGGTTTCATCATTTCAACCCCTTTGTGTGTTCAGATCTTTTTACTTTCTATTTTTCCCTTGCTTAATGATTTCAAGTTCTGCTTCTTTTTGTCTCTTTGAAATAGTGCCATCTGTTGTTGTTTTATAGTTCTATTGCTTCAAGTTAGGAACTTTTGACTGTGATAGCGCGGTTGAATTGTGTTTTTATGATTTTTCTTGTTCCAATTTAGGAACTTTTGACTGTGATTGTGCGGTGGGCTGTGTTTTTATGGTTTTCTTGTTTCAATTTAGGAACTTTCTATGTTGTTGATGGAGCTGCTTATGTTGGTGTGTTTTTCTAATAAGAAGGGGATTAATGGCTTGAGCTTGGAGTCCGGGTAATGGGTTTGGCAAGCACAGTATATTTAGGTATCAATATTCGTTTCTATGGCCTCAACACCTTCTTCCAAGAGTTTAGCTGAAAAGCTGAACAAGACAACTGGAAATCAGACAACAGAACGGAGTTCTCGCAGGTCTACACCTTCCCAAGTTCCAAAAAACAACAAATTAGAGATCGCGACTTCTAAAGAACGAGAAGTTGTATCGAAACAGCTTGTGGTAGAATCAACTGTCAGCCAAAAGTCACAGAGCAGTCAACCTAAGGGATCTTCCAACTCACTTGCTGATAAATTCGATTCAAACTTATATTTGGGCAATTCAAAGTATTCAGCTAGTGGAGTAGGTTCTATGCCTACGGAGGCAAAAGGCTCACAAGGGACAGCTGATCAGGAAAGGAAGAATTCTATTAAGGACAGCTCAGCATCAGCGAAAGTTAGTGATGGGGCTAGCAGTATTGCAAAAACAAGTGGAAGTGCCAAAATTAGCGATCGAGCAGATTTTCTTGAGAGTGGTAAGAGCAGCATCTGTAGGGGGAGCACAGGAACTGACGTAAGTGAGGAAAGTACTTCTAGCAGCTTGAGCAGCAGTGTTAACAAACCTCATAAAGCTAATGACTCAAGATGGGAAGCCATCCAAGCTATCCGGACTAAAGATGGGGCATTGGATTTGAGGCACTTCCGGTTGCTGAAGAAGTTGGGAAGTGGTGATATTGGAAGTGTGTATCTGTCTGAGTTGTGTGGAACAAAGTGTTATTTTGCCATGAAAGTTATGGATAAGGCATCATTAGCTAGTCGTAAGAAATTGCTTCGTGCTCAGACAGAAAGAGAGATATTGCAGTCCCTGGACCATCCATTTCTCCCAACATTATATAGCCATTTTGAAACAGAAAAGTTCTCATGTCTAGTGATGGAGTTCTGCCCAGGAGGAGACCTGCACACACTCAGACAAAGACAACCAGGGAAGCATTTTTCAGAACAAGCGGTGAAGTATGATACTTGATCTCTGACCTTACTGTCTTAAGATAGTTTGCTCTTCTTTCTTTTAAAAAAGTGGGCATCTTTTGTTGCTTTCAGTCTGGAGTATTATTTTCACAATTTACAGCATTGACTATATCTTTTACTGTTAGACCTAGATATGTTTTTGTTATGGCTGTAGACATAATTAATCCAACATCATCCATTATTTCTTCATTTTAAATTAATTGATCCAACAGATATACTGATAACAATCAAGGGACATAAATACCTTTAAATGACATGATTTTCTCGGTGGTACCAAGAAATTGAGTTGAAGCAAACTGACTTCTATGCAAGTTATTTCAAGTCCCTAAAGCAGTCGGATTGCATGTACTAACCAGTTATATCATTTACCTCTGGACAATGAAATGCATGTTGACCTCACTGTTAGTTCAAAAAGCTGGTTATTTGATATTCTGACTTTATTCTTTGCTCAGTGGTTTAGATCCTAAATCTTAAATTCCTAAAATGAGTGAGCTCGAGCTACTTTTGGGATCATTTGCCTAGTTTTTTTCCTCCATAGGTATCATTTGCTTGTGTTTTTCTTACTAAGCCAAGTGGATGTTTAAACTGGTTTATATTCTTCTCCTGTGTTGGTTCTATACGAAGCTGTTTTTGGTCTCTGTTGCATGTTCTTCTTGTCAACTATTTACAATTCGATGCAAGCAGCAAGTTAGTGTGACCATCATTTGAATTGGACATGGTAATGCTGTTTATTTTACTTGTAATGTTTGGTTCCTGCGCCCTGCAGGAACTTACTTATTTCTGTAGTCATTAAGACTACTGTTTGTTGTGTGGTCCTGTAGTTGGGGTAATCAGCTAAGGTGCAGGTGGGTGTTTTTCTCTTTTTGGCAAATGAATCCTTCAGTTTAGTAGTCATCCACCTAATTTTAAATATTAAGAAACATTATTGACTTGTTGGTTGGTGTTGGATTATTGAGAGACTGATTAACGCTCACTTTGACTCATTCCTGTGACCTACTTTTCATCTTGTCATTTACAAAACATTGACCTCTTTAGTGTAATGGGGAACTTTTATTTGGTGAAGTTAATAGTTGTAATGGAAATATTTGCTTTGTCAAAAATATTAGATTCAATTG